ACGAAGGAATTTCCAAGCTCGTACATCGCTACGATAAATACCTTAATTTGTATGGTGACTATGTAGAAAAGTAGTATTTGAGTGTGGCTTTCATCTGTATATAATAAAATTTGTTTCCTATACTTTGTTAATTTTTTATTCCAAAACGTAATCTACTTTCTGGATAGCCCTCGTATTATATCCTCATAATGTTACTGTGCCAAAAATTGACACATTAGCTTCATACACAGAGTAATCATTCAACTTTACAGGTAATTTTATATTTCTTCTTTGCCTAGTAATTTCTTCATGACTTTCTCCAAGATTTCTGGATTCTACATCACTTGAATCACATATTACTTCATCTTTAGCAGGATCTGTACTTTCTATGGAAAAAACATCTTGAACCGAGATACATTTCTTTTTCTCTTCATTGAACACTACATTTCAAGAAACCACAATATGATTTGTGACTGGGTCCAGTAAACGATAACCCATGATAGAGCATCCAATAAAAATCATCTTTTTTGATTTTGGATCTAATTTCTTTCTTAAGTTATCAGGAACTCTCATGTATGCATCAAATCCAAACACCTTAATAATATTCAAATCAGGTGGCTTCCCATATTTGAGCTTATAAGATAGATTTTCAACAGTCTGATTTGGATTAAGATATGCAGCTCTCTGTACAGCATAACCCCAAAAGGATTTAGAAAGCTTTGCTTCACATATTAGACCTCGGGCCTTCTCTAAAAGATATCTGTTGGCTCTCTCAGCCACACCATTCAAAGGAGGTGAATATGGAAGAGCAGGATCTATCATAACACCATTTTTCTTGCAATGACGAGCTAGTTCACCAGACACGTATTCCTTGGCATTATCACACCGGATTTTGTAGAGGTCAGGATTCTGCTTTAGGAACAATTTAAACACTTCATTCATGTCACTCTTGTGCTTTAAGAGATGCACTTCAGTAAATCTAGAAAAATCGTCTATGATTGTAGCAAAATACTTTTCACCTTCCCTAGTGGGTGGATCAATGGGACCACATATGTCAGTGTGTATCATTCTCATCGGCACATGCTCTCTGCTTCTAGGGTCTTTGTTCATAGGAGTGTTGGAATGTTTTGCTAGCACACACTCTTCACAAAAACTTGATGGTGACTCAGATACTGGCAAACCCATTTCTTTTAATATTTTATCAGATGAGTGCCCCATGCACCTGTGCCATAATTCTGCACTATGATTTGCAATGTATGTTGAAGCTTTAACAGGTTCAAATTGACTCACATACTGTCCTTTCTCATCGAGTTTAGCAAATTCAAATTTTCCATTCCTCTTTTCAATAACAGCTACATCATTCTTAAAAATGACACTGTAACCTGCTTTTTGAATATTCTTCACAGATATTAATTGACCGTTCAACTCAAGCACATATAACATATCTTTAAGCAATATTTCTCTTCCATTTAACGTTCCAGGTATGTACCAATACCTTCTACCTTTAAAACATCATTTTTTGAAGTACACGCTACAGTTCCAGAAAAAGGTTTAATTTCTTCAAACCACTCACCTTTGTTACACATGTGTGTAAATGCTCCAGAATCCAAAATGAAATTTCCAACAGGCTCACAACCATACTGCAGCTGATTCTGTGTAATCTGATTTATGCTTAAATCTGCAATCCTTCTTGTAATGCCCTGAGCGTTCACATCCAAAACAAATTAATTTTCTCTTACAAAGCTTGGCAAAATGACCTTTACTTTTACATTTGTGAATCTCTTTAACCACTGCCTCAGTGCTTGCTTAAGTCCATAAAGATTCTTGAGAAGCTTGCACATGTGACCACTGTTGTCACTGTAGCCCATTTTTTGTTCCATGTAGATTGTTTCTTGGCAGATGATATCACTCTTATCAGCACTAAAAGCTACGTTATTACTTGAGCCAGAAACACGAGAATCATAAGAATATCTCTCATCTTGCAATTCTTCAGCATTCAAAGTCTTTGCATAACAAAGTCCAGCGTAACCATTTCATTTGGATGGTTCTCAATCGCTGATTTAATAATGTCGTACTCGGCAGGTAGCGACATTAACAAATAAATAATCACATCCATATCTTTGACTTCAGCAACCCGAGAGTCGCAGTTTATTTACGATTGCCAACAGTTTGTTAATATGTGACCTCATACTGCAATCTCGCCGTTTCTTCAGTGTCAATAATTTGTTTCGTACTACAGTCAAAAGTCGTTAATCCGGACTTGTCGGGACTTCAGCGATTCCGGATTATAGATCATCAGTTTAAATCTCGTAAGATGGCATACAGAAATTCTAAAATTAAAAATATGAAACCTTAATTTATGAACTAAAGAACAATTACAATCTAAAGGATATCAAAATTTACAAAAAAAAAAAAAAAAAAAAAAAAAACCTTAATATTTATTTGTTTACTTTATTAAACATTTCTTTTAATGTAAGTTGTTTTAAGTTGCTTCGTTTTATGTGATAATACTTTCTCTTTAATTCTATAAAAAGACACAATTTCTTGTTCAGTTACAAAGTTCCGCTGTTCAAGTCTCGTTAATTGTTGTGCCGAGAATACCAACTAACTTGTCAATCGAAATTTTTTCGTTTTCACTAACCTCTCCGTCACCTTCTTCATGTCTTTATCCACTTTTTGCAGCAATTCCACTTTTTGTTTGATGGACATTGAAACATACTTTCATTTTGTACGATCCTTCGGGAGCTCCAGAATCGGAAATTCTATTTGACATAATCGAAAGTTCAAGTTTACTTTTATAAAATTGCTCTTACAGTCTGCAAAAAATAATAAGCCAGATCCAATTCGAAGATTAAGGAACAATGCAATCATCAACATTAACTGAAATAGATAATTTTAGATTATACCGTCCGTTATACATAAAACGTGCACGCGAAAACATATTCTGCGCTTGCGCACTCGCCTATGCGCAGTGGTAAAAGGTCTTACGCGCACGAGTAAACGCCTATGCGCATGTGTCAACGCGGCGCATGCGCAGAAAGTTTTTAGCTTTGAGGTTCGGATTATGGGTGTCCGAATTAACGACTTTTGACTGTAATATTTGACTAACTGCACTCACCTTCAGGTATTTATTGTTTAAACTGCTCCAAATTTCACATGCAGAAGATTCACTCGACATGGTAGCCAATATGGCATCATCTAGAAGGGTTAGCAGCAATGTGTAACCTTTTTTGCATCTTTGATTTCAGCAACTTTCATTTGCTTCAATGACTAAATATTTATCAAGTTCTTTGGCTGCAAACACAGCTTCAACACAGCACTTAAACAGAGAAAAGTTTTTACAGTTAAATGGTTAAACACAATACTTTGTGTTCTCATCACGTGCTGCTATTTCAAATTTCACTTAACACGCGATTCCGTTCCAAACAAATAAGTTCCACAACACAAATATACATGTTTTGCCTCTAGCATGTTCAATATCAGAACCACGCTCTGCTGTTAAGATTTAAAAAGGTGAATCAGAGGCCAGTGAAACTTAAGTAGAGGCTTTATTAAATGATGAAATTAATCACTCTCATGACATAGCACACTTCTACATATCACACCAAACTACTCTACAACGACTGTTGCCGATACAACCTAAGCAAAATATAAACAATTACGGTTAATATACATATAACATCAAATCATAAACCAGGGAGTAAGTGTGATTATTCTCAACACTGTAAAAGAAATGGATTTTGTAAATGCTTTCCTGTGGAGAATCTGCTTTCAAAAAACAATCTAAACTGAAAAGGGAACCTCAAACACCAAATATTCTCCATAAAAAGATCTATTCTAGTTCATCAGAGAATGAAATACCTATTGATTCTGACGGTGAATTTTATTCTGAAGTAGATAAAAAATTCGAGGATATGTTTCTGAAGGACATATCTGCTGATAAAATGAATAAAGGTTTTCCTGTTTTGGTAGATTTTATTGCAGGAGGTGAGAGGGGGAATGGAAATTTCACCCCAGTTTTGAGAGAAAGCACCTCAGGGGTTGGTCCAAGTGTCTCTCCCCTTTCCCTCACCAGAGAGGACTTTTTGCTTGCCATATATTTCGGAGTGCTTTCATGCCACAAAGACACTATACGTTTACAAATATCCATTTCTCCTCCGGGATTCGAACCTGGGCCCTTTGGTACCGCAGTAGGCTCCCCTAACCACTATATTGTCTGGACAACTTAAAATTCAATAACTTAAATGAATATATATTATTGTTATTATTAGAAAATTTTTAGCATAAATTTCAATGTGATCAAAAATAGTGGCTGAAAATGTCACTGATTTGAATCTAAGTATTATTGACAAATATCTGATTTTGAACTCTAGGACAGGATTTTTTAATAAATTTTAAAGGTAAGAAATTTAGGCTAAAGTGCAGAATCGCCTACTTATTTGATTAGCGTTTGGCACTTTCACAAGAGTAAGAAGAATTGGAGACTTCCTATAGCTTGTCTGTATGGGATTTCCTTGCTGTTTTCTTTGATTTCCTCCCACTGTTGTTGTTCATCTACCTTTTTATATTTTATGCTGGGGTCCAATGGTGTGGATGCACGTTTTGCTTCAATCATTTTAAATGTTTCTAGGACCTCCGACACATAAATGATTTGATCTAGTGTGTATGATCCATTTTCTTCTTTGCATATTTGCATAGATAAGATCTGGCTTGCAGGACCTAGGTCCTTGACATTGAACTTTTTCTTGATGCTTTCCTTTAATTCATTTATCTCTGGCATGTTTCCAACTATGAGAAGGTCATCAACATAAACTCCAATCATGATGTTCTCCTCATGACAAAAGTAAATACAAGGGTCTGCACTTGATCTTTTCAATCCATACTGGATGAGGAAGTCTGTTATATATGTTAACTCATCAAACATAGATAAATTACTGTTTATTTATAAGATTAAAATTAAATTAGATTACTTTATACATAAGAGAGACATTGATGCTACATGGTTGGTGGCAAGTGACGAGAGTGTGACGCAGCACAAATACCGTGCACTTGCCTAACTAGTCAGGTTAGAGGCACTGCCATCTATCGGCAAGCAAAGTAATTAATATCTAACATGCACTTTTTATTTATAGAACAAGACTAGTGGATGTTACTAACTTAGTACAATAATTATTTTACATCATTACTTAGCAGTTAACTTAAGAAAACATTTTGACATTAAATTATTACTTAACAGTTGACATTAGAGAACATAGCAAAATTACATACCTGGATGACTCACTTAAATCTTTAAAATTGTGACTTACTAATTAGACTGATATTTTAGAGTTCTGAACAGTTCATAAAATTCCATAATTAGTCTATAAATAAAGTACAAGTTTTTGGCATCAATAAGTTCTTCCTAATTGTCTCTATATCAAAGAGGTTTTATTCTATTTCTACAAGATCATCTTAACATTGGTTCGGTTGACACATTTCCTGGAATTTGAGGATGTTTAATAGAATCATTTTCTGGTCCTTAGGTGGATCCTGCCTATCATTATCTACAAGAACAGGTTGATCCAGTGTTGATTGATCAAGTCCAAACAAATCTTCTGCTGTCCTGTTCCACTCTGTCATTTCACACGTAGACTTGTCTTTACGAATGTGATGTCGATTTCTCCTATACACAGTTCCATCCTTTGCTTTTATGACATACGATCTTGGCTGAGGACCTGTCTTCATGATCATACCCTGTTTCCAAGGCTCTTTAATTTTCCATTTAAACCACACTTTATCATTTTCATGAAGTTTTGGAAGCTGGGTTGCGTGTTTATTGGCATATTTCTTTTGCACCATCTGCCTTTTTTCTAATGCTCTACTTGCACCTTTTATTTGAAATTTTGGTTGCAATGCTTTAGGATGTGATGGCAGAAAAGATCTCAGTCTTCTTCCCATTAATAATTCAGCCGGGGATGGCAAATCTTTTGCAGGTTGAATTCTATAATCTAGCAAAACAATATACAAGTCTTTTCCTTCTTCCGCAGCTTTGCTCAGAGACTTCTTGAGAGTTTGGACAGATCTTTCAATTTGCCCATTTGCTCTAGGAAAATGTGGTGATGTGATGTTATGCATAACACCCCATTCTTCAAGAAATTTCCGCAATGCTTCCGAGTTGTATGGTGGTCCCCCATCAGTGATGAGCTTCTCTGGTATTCCATGTGTTGCAAAAATGGACTTCATAACGATCATTACAGCTTGAGCAGTTATATTTTTCAGTGGTTTCAGCTCTACATATTTTGAAAAGTAGTCTATCATTAACAGATATTGTTGTCCTTTCAGGTAAAAGAAATCACGGGCAACTTTTTGCCAGGGTCTCTCTGGTAGATCACAGTCTAAAAGAACTTCTTTCTGATTAGCCTGTTGATATTTCTGACATATCGCACATTTAGAAACATATTCTTCCACATCTTTGTTGATGTTCGTCCAGTAAAAATATTCTCTAGCTTTACTAGAAACTATACCTTTGTGAGACACATGCAGTTTTTTCATAATATCTTTTCTAAGAGATGCTGGCACAACTAGTCGTTGTCCTCGACAAATTATTCCATCCTTTGTTGTATAAAGCTCTTCTTTGCAATGCCAGTAAGGTTGTGCTGCTGGCCTTGTTTTGCTTCTTTCTGGCCATCCATTTTTGATATGAAATAACACATCTTGCAATTCAGGGTCCTTTTCTGTCATTTTTACGATTTCCTGCCATTTTGTTGGAGAGGCTTGTGTTAATAGACTTACATTAACAGTAGGTTCTTGACTGAAGGTGTCATCAAAGGTGTCAACACTTGACTGTGCTCTGGACAGGGCATCAGCTATTAGCAATTCTTTTCCTGGGACATATTCCAATTTCAAATCATACCTGTTCAGTTTGAGGAGCATGCGCTGAAGACGAGGTGAGATTGTATCATAAGGTTTCTTACTAAGGCCTAGTAATGGTTTGTGATCAGTCTGCACTGTTACATGTCTTCCGTACGTATAGTAGTTGAAATGTTCTAACCCATATACAACTGCTAAGAGTTCTTTTTCAATCTGCGCATACCTTTGCTGCGTTTCTGTCAATGATGCTGATCCAAAAGCCACAGGTTGATTATTTTGTAGGAGAACCGCTCCAATTCCATATTTACTGGCGTCTACTGACACAGTTACAGGTTTGCTTTCATCAAAATACTGTAAACATGGGGCTTGCACAATCATCTGTTTAGGTGTCTTTGGATCATCAGTCTGTCTTTGTCATCAGTCAATCATCTGTCTTTGGATGTTTTCATCCCATAACCATTCGCTATCTTTTCTCAAAAGTTGCCTTAATGAATGAGTTAGACTTGACAACTGAGGTGTGAATTTTGCTAAGTATGTCACCATTCCTAGAAATCGCTGCAAGTCTTCTCAGCCTTTTGGTTCTGCAAACTTTTCAATCGCTTGGATCTTCTTTGGATCAGGTGCAATGCCTTTATCAGACAGTACATGTCCTAAATAAGTCACAGAGGTCCGAGATAGCTGTGTCTTCTCGATGTTAAATTTTAGATTAGCACTTCTGGCTATCGTAAGTGTCTTCCGCAACAACTTGCAATGTTCTTCGACAGATGACGATCCTAGGGCTAAATCATCAAAATATGGATTTATCTCGTTCTCATTGCTAAAAATCTCCTCCATGGCCCGTTGAAATTCCTCAGGTGCATTGTTCAGACCAAAAGGAAGAACCAAAAATCTGAATCTTCCCCAGGGCATTGTAAATGTTGTCAAGTATGATGACTCCTCATCAAGCGGTAGTTGCCAAAATCCATTCTTGGCATCCAAAATGGTAAATATTTTACATCCTTGGAATTTTGTCATAAGGGCTTCTGCTGTAGGAATTTGATAATGAGGTCTCTTGAATAGCCTCATTAAGCTGCCTTGGATCTAAACAAATTCTCAATTTCTTTGGCGTATTTATCACAACCATGTTGCTCACCCATTCTGTAGGCTCATCAACTTTTGCTATGATGCCAGTTTCAACCATTCTGTTTAGCTCCTGCTTTACTTTTTCATGAAAAGCAAGTGGCCACTTTACGTGGTGCTGCAACATGAGGTGCGACATTTTCTTTTATTTTTATCTTTACTGTGCGATTTAGTTTTCCCACACCAGTAAACACATCTTCAAATTCCTATATCACTTGCTCTGGTGTCTCTTCATTTTGTTTCTTTTCCTGCTTGACTTGATACACTCTTTCAATCAGACCCAAGTCTTGACAAGCCTGAAGACCCAAAATAGGAGATGATTCCAGAGTGGTTACTAGAAATTTGAGAGTTTTTGTCAATTTTTTAGTTTTACATGTAAGGTAGCACTCACCTAATATTGGTACTTGGTTGTCACTATAATCCAGTACTGGTTGTTTATTTTTCTTAATTATTGGTTTCTCACTCCACTTTAACAATTCACTCTTGGGTATAATGTTAATTTGATCTCCGGTATCTAATTTCACTTCGTTCTTATTTACAGTGATCTTTTGGTACCAGACTGATGCTTTATTTGAATCCACCGCATCAACAGTTTTTACTTCCCCTAGGTAAATAAACTCCGAGTTACTATCTTCCGTACATTCAACGGCGTGCACTCTCTGTTTTGGTTTGGCGCAACACATTTTCACCCAGCGATTTTTCCCACCGCACTTTCGGCAGACCGTTCCGAACGCAGCGCACTTCTTTGGCTCATGTTTTCTTCCACATCTCTTGCACACTTTTACTTGCGTTATCTGCACGAGATTTGATCGATGTTTGTTTTTTCTGAGAGCATCTACGGAGATTTTGTTCTCGTTCATTTCAGTGGCTTGAGCTTTGCTATGTTCCGCTGCCTTGCATTCACTGATGATATTCTGCAGCATCTTTTTCACTCTATTTGTCTCTCATATTAGCTGTTTTTGTAATGCTTTATCTGAGATGCCTTGCACTATTTTATCACGGAGCATTCTATCTTGCACTTGCCCATAGTTGCAATCTACTATTGCACATCGTAGCCTTGAGTAAAAGTCCGTGAATTTCTCTCCTTTCTCTTGCTTTATTTCGAGAAACTTGAATGATGCATAAATCTCATTCTGATAATCTGCAAAATATTTGTCGAATTCTTGTAGCACTTGTTTCAAGGACACTTCACTGCTGCCCGCTTCTGGCTTCAAATCAAACGATCGATATTGCTTTTTTAATTCGTCACCACAAACATGTCGAAAAAGCGCAGTTTTTGTGCTTTCCGACTCTTGGCTATATCTTAATGCCTCGATATAGTCCTCGAAGTCTTCCTTCCAGTGTCTCCAAGCTTCAGAAGGGTTCGGTCCAGCGTCAAACGGTGACAACGTGGGCAGGTTATGCGCCATTTTTAATTCCAAGTTTTTCAAATACACGTTATCCTTAAAATATCCATTTATGCATTAAATCCGTGAGCATGGTTTACTCTGACCACTTCTGACACCATGTTATATACGTTGACTCATCAAACACAGATAAATTACTGTTTATTTATAAGATTAAATTAGATTACGTTATACATAAGAGAGACATTGATGCTACATGGTTGGCGGCAAGTGACAAGAGTGTGACGGAGCACAAATACCATGCACTTGCCTACTTAGTCAGGTTAGAGGCAGTCATCTATCTGCAAGCAAAGTAATTAATATCTAACAAAGTCGTTCAAGCAAGTATTCCATGAACGTCCTGATTGTTGGAGACCATAAATGCTTTTCTTCAGGTGGCAGACAAGATGTTCTTTCCCTCTCTCAATGCAGCCTTCTGGCTGTGCCATATATATGTCCTCTTTTAGAATTCCATTAAGGTATGCAGCTGTTACATCCATTTGGTGAAACTCTAGCTTTTCCTCTGAAGCTACGAACCTTATAGATTTAAGTTTGATGACTGGTGAAAAGGTGTCTTGAAAGTCCACTCCAGGTATTTGCAGATAACTGTTTGATACCAATCTGGCTTTGAACTTTGCTCAGTTCCCAATCTCGTCTTTTTTCTTATGAAACCATCTGGAGTCAGCTTCGGGTGATTTCAGGACTGGGTCCTTTTCTTCAGATTGTTGTATCTCTTGGGCATTGTACAGATAAAAACCTTCAAAACATTTAGGAATTCTGGTGTTTCTTTTTTCACCTCTCTCACTCCCATGAGTAGGATTTCTGGCTGCTGCTTCGACTTCAAGGTCTAGGTTGTTAATAACATCTCGTATCTGTGTAACTGATTGGCCTTCATCTCCGTAATCTGGAGTATTTTCAAGCTGTAGGTCTGGACATCTTTCAGAATTTTGGTCAATCAGATCTGTATTTAGATGTTGCGTTTCATCCAGGTCATTTACATCAGGAGTTATGTGATCTAGAGATCAATCACGAGCTTCTGTCTCAGGTAGGTTTATGGGATATTCTGATTCAAAGTCTTCAATTTTAAGAGTAGCTTCTTCTGCAGGATTGTCACACTTGCTTAGTTTTAAGAGGGAAACATTTTCTTCAAAAATGACATCTCTGCTGACAAAAAAAAAAAAAAAAAAAAAATGTTTCTTCTTCAGGTCATACAATTTGTAGCCCTTAACTCCATTAGGATAGCCCACAAAAACACATTCTGTAGCTTTAGGATCAAGCTTGCTTTCTCTTGAGTGCAAGCGAACATGATACCAAGCTCTGCATCCGAAAACTCTGAGGTGGTCTGTTTTGCTTCCAGACCCTGACCATATTTCCTCTAGAATATTGCCATCAATTGCCATAGATGGGCACTTGTTGTGGAGATAGGCCATAGTGGCCATTGCTTCACGCAAAACCTGTGATCTGCTCTGGACTCTATAAAGAAGTATCTTGTTGTGTTTATCAATGTTTGGTTCAGTCTTTCTGCCACACCATTTTATTGGGGTGTGTCAGGTACAGTTAGTTGTCTTTGGATCCCATGCACAGTGAAGTACTTGTCAAACTTTTCACTTATATATTCCCCACCATTGTCATTTCTCAGGAATTTGAATTTTCTGTTTTGGAGATTTGCTACCATGCAACGGTACTCCTCAAATTTTTCTAGTACTTCACTTTTGGCTTTCATACAGAATGCCATGGTATAGCGAGAAAATTCATCCGTGAAAGTCAGAAACTAATTTGAGCCTTCAAAGGAAGGAGGAGAAATTTTACCAGCAACATCTGAATGTATAACTTTTAGGATGTCCTTAGCTTTTGTACTAGAAGCCTTTGGAAATCTCTTCCTTTTCATTTTTTTCCTGGATACAGACTTGGCAAGGTGAATTTACTAATACTGTTGATTTCAGGTTTCTGCAGATGGGGAAAACATTTTTTGTTGTACAAGAGTGTGAATGACCAAGTCTACGGTGCAGCAAGTCGGCACTTTCAGTTTTCGTAATGTAGGCGGTTGTCATCTTTTCTTCGATTATGTAGTCTTCCTTTTTCTCACCAGATAGAAGAGTGTCTCCATTTTTACCAATCACTTTGTGTGACGAGGTCACATTGAATTAATTATTTACTACGTTATGGCAATATTTAGATATTTGCATCAGATTCCTTTGGTAACAGTTTCCATTTTTTCGCCAACTTGTGTTGTAAGGTGAGAAAACAGATTTCATCAGACAACTGTGTAAGCGGAGGAAAGCATTGCATCAGACAACTGTTGTAAGCGGAAGAAAGTATTGCATCAGACAACTAGCGTCTTCACTTCTGTTTGCCTGGGTAGCTGAAGGTATTTTGCGATTGGTTGCCTTCTGACGCTGGATCTTTTTTCATTGGGCGGCAAAACTTAACTGTGGAACTTTATAAAAGGCGGTATTTTTTGTCTACCAAGAGGGAGGAGAAGGAGGAGATTGTGAAGGTGCGAGATGGAGACGCTGCATAGAGAAAGACAGTAAGAGTGGAGTAAAAATGCAAACTTGTGGGAGTTTATCGTGCAAGCTTTCTTTGGTCTCCCAGTGTGTATAAAGGAAGTGATTTTCTTTCTCTTTGATGTTGTAGCTGCAAAATTTAAGCTAATCTCTTTTTTTCCCCGGGCTTGGCATTTTCGCCCGGCATCCCGATGAAGAGTACCTGCATGTGTGTGAGCTGAAATACACCATGTCTTCGAGGGGCTGTGTGGAAGAATTGATCTATCTTTTTTGTTCTGAGTGAGGAGGCCTCATATCGTCATGTGCCACCGGATTACAAAAAAAAAGGAATATCTCTTCAGTATTGTTGGTATCCAATAAA